TATATAACCCATTTGTAATCAAAAGCACTAACAACATAAAATCTAACCAAACCAAATAAAAAATTAATATTTGTTGCACAACAGATGTATCAGCGTACTTTTGTACAAATAACATACCATTCTTTTCCTTCTTTTCCTCTCCCATTTATGTTAGTTTCTAAAATATTCGTCTTATCTCTGTTTATCGCTTAGGACAGTTACTGTGTTTGGTCCTATTTTTATGCATTACAAACTGCACTGTTTCTTATTCCCAGTCGCTGTTTGGACTTCGTTTTCCAAACCCATTCAAAAAAAAATATTCTTTTTCCTTTTACTCAAAAAATTTTGATCAGAGCACAAAATGCATTACAAACTTGTTCTAAAAAAAAAATCTTATTTTTTGTTTTTATTAAATAATCAAATAACACGTAGTGTTCATCAAACATTTAAACTTTACAAGTTTTAGTTAATGACGTAACACAGGGCAGAATAAACCATTCTTTGTACTCCCAAAAAAAAAAAAGGAATTGTTTATAGCAGTCAGCAGCATTCGGTCTGAGATTACAACATATTTTAGCATCAATCAAAACGACAGAGATTGTCGTTAGATTCCAATTCAGTTTTCTTTTAGCGCTGAAAAAAATTCTAATTCAAAAAAAGTAGATCCACTTTCATTCTATCTTTGAAATCAACAATCTTCCTTTTTTGAAAATAAGTGCAAACTTTAACATTGGTAAAATTTTCAACAATACAGCTTCAGTTTTGTCTATAGAAGATAAGAACAAACGCCATTCTAGGACCGGAGACCAGAGTCAGTAATGATAAAAATAAGTGTGGAAACCAATTTTTACATACTTTTCAGATGCTCAAACAACTGACTGCATCCGGCGTATGCTCTTTAAGTATGTTGCTGCTATCTGACACTTTTTCGGTTATTCAGTCTACAAATAGCCTTTCCTTTTTCCCCATCTTGCTACCTCTTCTCTTCAATCTTTTCCAGTTAAAAACTTCTATCTAAGTTATTTAGACGTTAGCTTTACAACAATTCAAAGAAGATCAACCAAATTAAGAACACGAAGACAGAATTTGTACTAATTAAAGCTGCTAATTATTGTTTGAAGAAAAATAACTTTACAAAAATTGTTCTTTCTTAATTTAGAAAATGGCGGAAAAAACAAAACTCACACACTGTCATCTTCTTGCTTCTTCTCTCCGAAAAAAACCGGTCTTTCACTCTCAATTAGAAAATGATCAATCAAAATGTTGTAAGGGTCGCAAAAAAAGTGTTGCTGAACTATGAGAAATCTAGAAACAAGAAATTTTTTTCAATAATTTAAGTTTTTTTGATAATTTAAGAAAAATAATTTTTTTAGCAGTTTTTTCTGAGCAAAGATTTTGCATTATTTTTACTTAATGCAAAAAAACTTTTTTCGACTAAATTTTTTTGATGCTGAAGAAGAATCTGAATAATCGGTGTAGCTTTTTAACTCTTAATTATTTGGCTTTGTAAAACGTTCTCTTGGGTTTCTTCCTTTTCTCACTTCATCTCCTGCTTTGGTTCCTCTTATACTTCCTACCAGGAATTTGGTGATGAAAAATAGCCATATTTTATCATTTGGGCATCTATGCTACTATATCTTTTTAACAGTTTGACGATCAAGTTAAAAAAACTATTGCCAGTTCAAGTTAAAAATTGTTTACGTATAAAATGCAAATGAATAATTGGCAGAGCAGCAGCTAGGGCTTGAAAGAAGAAACGAAATTTAAGGCACCTTTCATATTCAATCACCAATTTTACAAGCAAAAGCTAAACTAACCAAAGTCTAGTGCTTAATTTTGATCTTTCAAAATGAGAATAATACATTACAATATACAGCTGTCGATAAACTCAAACCATTTTCAATGAATAAAATTTAAATTTTACAAATGACCGAAAACGAAAATTACGTGTTTGAGATAAGTTTATCAGCGACGTAACATTGACTTTTTAGCTGCTGTTTTCTTAAAATTAGTGAACAAAACATAATTGCTAAACCGCTGAAGACGAAGCTTTTATGAGAAAAAAGTCTAGAAATTTAAGTCTAATAAATTACAATCTTTACTTTTGATCTCAGGTTTATTTACAAAATTTGTGTATCAACTTAGACAAAGTTGCGCTTCAAACAATTAACAAATGGTGGTAGAAACAAAAAATTCAACAGTTACAGCAACGTACAGAATCTGTATACCTCACTTACTGCATTAGCAAGTCATAATTGTCTTCTAACACTTTATTCTGTGGCGTCATTATCTGATGAGTGTTTTGCTAAGGTTATCGACGAAGATGAAATAACACAGCCAAAAAAATTTTGTGATATTGATATAGCTCTGTTGTTCATATTGTCAACCGCTGTTATATCGTTACTGTCTTCATTTTTGTTCAAATAATTGCTCCTAATTTCTGTGTGCCAAATATGAGAGCAGAGTGCACAAATTTTGTTACGACTTTTAAAAAGTATTGAAAATTGTTAGGTTTAAGATAGAAATTCGATTCTTGACAACAGAGAACGACGTCACACAAATTTTCCTCTTAAGCGTGTAAAAAAAAAAAAAAACACGTAAACACAAATAAATAGTCATGAAAAAAATGTGAAGAAAAAATTATTGAGCAACAGACAATTTATTCTTTCCCATTTTTTTTTTTTTGGTCTGCTTCTTTTCTTCTTCTACCCCATATACGAACAGTTTCAATAAATCAAAGTGCTGTTTTTCAAATAAGAACAATTTTTCCTTGTATATTTATTATAGAATGTATCAAACGATGCAATGTAAAGATTGATTTTAAGCACTCATTCTAATTCTCTGCAAACTTTAATTTTGCTTAGAATATAATAAATTTTTGAACAAGTGATATATTTGTTTGAGGTATCGTGTAAAATTTTTTCAACAATGATAAAAAATCAAGTTTTTTTTATACTTTCAAAAAACATACTTTTATACTTCACTGTTTCAATAATTTTCTTTAAACAACCAAGGAAAATAAAGAAAGGAAATAGCAATAGCTACAGAATAGTGCAAGTCAAAAAAAGAGACGTATAACATCTATTCAATTTTTCTTGAAAAACATCGGTTAGCCACTTTAATAACACAATTTTAGATTTCAGTTCTTAAATCACCTATGTCTTTAAAAGAAAAAAAAAATTATTATATTTTTTCAAACTTTAGATTGAGAAGTTTAAACTACTGAGAAAAATATATTTTATAAAAATTTTTAGCAA